CCCCCATCTTCTACCTTTGGCCGTCTCTTCGTTGAAGATCCTTTTAATATACTTATCTCTCCTATAATAGCGGTGAATCCGCTTTTCACAGTTGCGCAATCCCTTAACCCATCGATCTTTCTTAAATAGCTCAAGCTTAGCTGCGGTAAAAGTAAATCATCTCGCCTGTATAATCTAGTGATTAACACTTTACGCAAGGACGTAATATGAATTTACTATTCACGACTTATGTATTTTCTATTTTTGAGATTTTTTTTTCTATATGTGTAATGTAACACATGTTCGCTATTTACCATTACACGCATTTATTATTTCTTGCTGGTATCGTTGCGCATGATTAATTCTGTCGACTGTCGTGTGTTTTCGCGAGGTGACGGAGGTGCTCGACGACGGCGTATCAGCACCAGGACGCTGTCCCGGGGACAGTGACGGCGAGATATGACACGAGCGACGGCCCTCTTGGGCCAGCGAATCCGACGAGGACAGCGAACTGGAACAAAGGACCTGTCAGATCGCCACGCTGTCTTAGTCATCGGCGACGAGCCGGAGGAATTTCCCTCCCCCGATTCAATCTGGTCCTGCAAGGAGGGTGTCAATAACGCGTCGATGATTCCGCTTGCGGCGAGGATAAGCGTGAGGAGTATACGAGGCCGGGTGAGATGACGTCTCACGAAAATGCGGGCGGATTAAAGGAACGGGAATTCATCGTGCGAGAGATCCACGAGGCTAAAAACGGATAAAGAGAAACGATAATCAGAGGGACTATAAAAAACGACGATGTGACGATAAGACGATAATTAACGCGCGCGCGCACTCAGCTCGTGCGAGAGAGCGAATTGGCGCGTGAATATTTTTCTTAGATAGAAGTCTGTCGGTTAAACGGATGATTTTTTTATGTCATCAATATATTTCGGAACCATACACAGGTACAAATGTATAATAATACTCATGTAATTGCATGATGTACAAAACAACCACAAAACATGGTTTGTGTGTATGTCAATAAACTATTATACATTCATGTTAAAATTGTCAATAAATAATCTTGAGAGAGAAAGAGGGAGAAAGAGAGTAACCTTCATTGTGCATCTGTACAGAAAAAGAATCATTACTAACATTACTAACATAATTAATTTTTTACTTACTCGAAAACACTAATTTAGTGATATCAATAGATATCAATAGATATCAACAGATATCAACAGATATCAATAGTGAAACAAAGAACGAGATAATATCGACTATTAGTTCGCCTCATGATCTGCAGAAATATCATGTATCATTACATATATTACATTACCCGCTGCGAAGGATCTAATCTCACACCATAGAAAAATATGAAAACATCTTAAAGAGTAGATGTTAGGCTCAAATTTCTAATCCCTGGTTAGGATTAGGTGCCTCACTGACATTAGAGTCTTTATTACAATCTTTGGCAATTCCTGACAACTTATCCAGGAACTCTAATAATAGCGGATTCTCGCCCAAGCGTTTGATTTCTCTCTTCGCGTCCTCGTCCAACTCCCGAATTTTTTCCCTCGTGTAACTGAAGGAACCGTATTTCTCCAGTATATCTACGAATTTGCGTTTGATCGCAACCTCCTCTGGCCGTTGTTTCAACAGATCTTTATTGCAAAAATTGTTAAGGAAACAACGTTAATAAAGACTGCTGCTTTGAAGACTGCTTTTTTAATAAATTTAGTATAAAACCAATATTTCATTGAGAACAAAAGCGCGATACATTTGCTGAACTATATACAGCACTGAAGGATACTGAGTATTTCTATGTCCTCGGGATGGGACTGGATTGCGTGAACAATTGGAAAGCTGAATTTTCCTTCTGTCAAGTCCTCACAGTAACCTTTCTTATCACTATACTATGACACAAATTGATTCATCATTTCAAGTTCACATGGAGTACTTCTGACATTTTTTCTTACCTCTTTGGTGCACAAGTTGCAATAATCATCGCGTATTTGAAACAAATATCCTAAAGTGTCCACTAGTGGCATGAGATCTTCCTCGAATTTTGTGAACAATTGCATCAGCCGTACTATCAGCTTAAAGAGGCCACCAGTTTCTGCAAAATTAATGGATTTTTTGTCACTTTCGTATAATTGTCACGTGCGTATAATTTTACATCAATTTTCATAAATGCCATTATTTACTTTTTACTACTGTAATCCTATATTCAAACTCAGTTGGACAAATATGATTATCTCTCCAATAAATGTCCGCACCCTGGCCTCTGTGAAGTTCCAATAACTGCTCAGTAAATATTTTTATTGCCTGGGAAGTGACATAATTGGACTAATTTATATTATTTTATAAGAGAACTCACGAGTATTTCGAAATTGACTTAATTACCTCTGGATGTTGTAGAGCCATAACTTTTTCTAGAGCAATAATTATTGCATAATTTGAAGCATTTATCGTGTGGGCAATTCCGTAAACTGAATGAGCAGCAGGAATTCCTCTTCTTAATATAGCATTATCTTCAATATCATCAAGCCTGCAAAAAGAAATTGATATATTGATATAAAAAAAATTACTAAACAAAATTGATATATTGGTACAAAAAAATAACTACACATTATCTATGATAATAATGTTTGTGATAACAAAAATTTGGAAATAAATAACTTCTGAAATAAAATAGTCATAAACTAGTCATAAACTACTCATAAAATAGTAATAAAATAGTAATAAGACATAAATTAGTCATAAAATAGTAAAAGGCATGAACTTACAGAATGCTTGAATTATGGAGTATATCTACTATCTCGTCAATTTTCTGAAGCTTATCATCTGGTATTTTTAACCAGTAATTAAAGGCTTTAGCTAATATTTTTCTAAGTGACTTTCCAGGGGTATTCAATATGTATGTTAATGGTTCCAATAATTTCTGCAAAAATAAATGCATAATAAAGTTAATACATATGAAAAGGTTTACCCTTCTAGGAGTCTATTTTCTATTTCTAATTGCTAATTCTGACTGCACTAGTTCTCTCATCTTTCTCCCATGAAATTTTATCTGTATATCTGTTTCTTTTTAAATTCTTTTTAAATTAAAAAGTGTACTCTAGTTCAGCGATAGAAAACCCAAGGAAATAGCTAGAATAGATGTGTAGTTTCACAAGGTGGTGCAAACTGCACACATCCTGGCTACATTTTCTTTCTGCTATCTTTTGTGAAATATGTATCACAAATACGACATAAGATCTGTTCTTTTTGTAACAGCTTCCTGAACCAATTTACATTACTGCGTTAAGTTAGAATAGAACAAAACATACTTGTTTTATCTTAACTTATTACATCAGTAGCTCAGAAAGTTCTTTGAAAAAGAACAAAACAAGAAAAAAGAACAGTAAAAGAAAGACTAATAATTGACACTTACAATAACATGATATCAGTAATAACAATGCTACTGTATCAAACTCATTTAGCATAGCATTTATCATAGCATCGTCCCAAAACGTACATATACCCGGTGTTATAAAACAGAGCTGTTTACAATCTCGGCATGAGATCACTGTTGCGCGAAACAACTTTCAGTATTTAATTTCAAGTATTAATTATGCAACCAAATAACACACTAACCTTGTCCTCCTCTGTATCACCGCTGTTGGAGCTAACAAACACTTCCTTATTTGCATCCGTTTTGTTGCAAGTCATTTTAATCAATGTCTTGCGGTGTGACAGGTGATGACGTCGCAAATCGAGCGTCAAACCAGCAAGATTACACACGTGCTCGAGAACACCGTGTACGTAAATCAAAATTCGTGACACGACAGTCACAATCAACAATTAAAAGGTGAGCGATTCAGACGTTAAGACACAATTGTACTGTATGCGTGCAGAGAGTGACGTTCCCAAGCAAAGAGCTCCACACGTGTGGAGTGAATACCAGGGTATGGACACTCTCTCTTGAGAAAAGTTAAGCCGTATTTCTACGCCATCTGGGCGAATAGACAAATTTTTTGGAACTGCTAATCAAGATTCCTATCAGTCGGTATCATCCCTGATGGAAATAAATCGCTGAAATTACTGAAATCTCTATCAATTGGCTCACTTTCAGTATAATTGTATAATTGTATAAAAAAAGGAATATACTATTCTTTCCTTTCATTTGGTTTGAAATACTCGTGAATAAATAAAGTTGCAAATGTGATATTTCACTTATTTATTTTACATTTTAAAATACAAAAATAACTTTTATTTTTAATAAAATACATTAAACATTGTTTACTTTTCGCCACACATTTCGCATATTTTAACATAAAATTTTATTATATTAAAAATATTAAATTATACAGGGAGACAATTGGAGTTTAGTTGAAAGTAAATTGTTATTACTTATTCGTAACAAGTAGGTTGAACAATATGAAGATTATTTTGTATCAGAAACTTGTAAAAATTTATTGTTATCAGTATAAGTATGCGCAAAGCAAATTTTTACATCTTTTTTTTAAATTATGTATCCTAACCATTTACTTTCAATTAAATCCTAATTGTCATCCTGTATTAAATGAATAAAATTATATTGAATTAAATTAGTAACTATTTAGAATAGGCCTTCTACAATAGCTCATAAGTCATAAATCAGAAGTGAGAAACTAGAAATTGACGACTGTGATTGATCCATTTCTAGCTTCTGACTTCTGATTTATGACTTATGGCTTATTGTAGAAGGCCTATAATACTTAAATTATTAGTATTCATATTATGTAAAAAGAATATTCATGTACATTTCTTTTTCCATTTTGTACTATAAAAATGTATCGCTTGTTTTTCTATAATATTTAATGGTTTGCTTGTATCTTTACCAGCTATTTTTCTATTAATATTAGAACACCATTGTGCAATTGAAAAGTTTTCTAAAATTTCTTGTACAACAGCTTCTTCAAAATCATTATGTTCTTTACATTTAAAAAATGAAAAATCTATTTCATTTTTAATAATAGTACTAAAATTTTTACGCACTCCAGTGCGAAAACATATAGAAGGCATTTTATTTTTGTATAAAATATAAGCTTTACACATGATAGATTCTATTTTCTCTAATGAAATATTTTCTTTGCATAAATGACAATTAGAAAAAGAATGTATATTAAATAACTTGTCAATAGTATGTTTATAGTCTAATCCGTTGCTAATTGAATCATTATTTAATGAATTTGATATATTGTTAACTTTTGCTGTTTCTTCTATTTCTTCAATAACATCTGTATTTGAAGTGTTTACTGTATTAATACTATTTTCTAAAAAATGTTGTAATGAAAATAAAACTTCTCTATTAGTATCTTTTTCACAGTTATTACCTATACTGTGTTTACCTGTTAAATTATTTATTAATAATGTTTTGAAAGAAGACTGAAAATTATAACATGTAGGATTTATATTTCGACGGTTATGACTCCTAAGCAATCCAAAAAAATTTTCCAATGGATCCTGATTAATATTACGGGTTTTCAAACATTGCATCCCTGCTTTACTTACAGTTGCCCATAATTTTTGAAACCCTTTAATAGTTAATTTCCAATTATTCAAAGATGGAGTAGATACGGACTTTTTTGTTTTTTTATCAATAAATGTGATGTTTTTTAATTGTCGAATTGCTTCATACCAGAAAGAATGGTGCACACTATTTTTTGTGACAGCAACTCGCAATGGTGCAGTATTATTTGACTTTGCTGTTCCGTTAACAGAATCAAATAATTTGTTAAAAAAATCCAAAACTTTCGCTGTTGCATATCCTTCTTCTTTAGAAATTTTTAAAGACCCAATGTTCGTGTTAATACAACCTTCAAAATATAGACAGAAATATAGACATTTTATTAACGTCCTTTTAATAAATTTCTTATAATTAAAAATTATATAATTTAATGTATATATGTATTATAAATAATTTAATTACCGTTTATTTTACTGTTATATTCGATAAACGCCGACAAAGTTGCACTAAAAACTTGCGCTGCCAATTTCACCCTCATTTTCTTAATTTTATCTTTTTTAATATGTTGATCTGTTAATTTTTTTAATTGTCGATTGAGAGTAGTAATATGAAAATCTAGTGCATAAGCGGTTTCTATCACATTCCATGAAGCAATTCCTTTTTTAGGTGAATTATTTTCATACATGTTGATTTCAATGTCTTTCTCAAGAAAATTATTTCGTATTCCTTTTAATAAATGTGGAGGATCATATAAAACAATCATCTTCTGGCCATATAAAGTAATTGTTTCATCTGCAAATACAATTTTATACCAACATTGTTATGCATGTTATATATTACAATATATTATGTACGAATTTTTACTTACCAAAGCGTTTACCAGTTCTTAAACAATCGCTTCTTGAATCATTTAATAATTGTTTAAGTGCAGCTACATTAGACGACCCTTGGTCGCATAATGTGCCGACAATGATACACCCAGTCTTAGTAGCTTCCTTAATGTTTTCTTTGATACATCGTATTAATTGTGCAGTTTTAGTTGCACTTTTACAAAAATTAAATGATATTGGTATTTTCCAACCAGTTTTTATACCTCTCAGCATAAATACAAGTGCATGATTAGCTAAACCTGATGTCCTTTTATGTCCCCAATCTTCAAAACCAATAATTATATCATTAACTGTATCATATTGTAGATGAGGTTGTAACGACATTTCATCCCACATTAGGATACATAATTTATCAAGATCTTTCAATAATGATATTTGATGAGAGAGATGGGAAAAAATCAGTTCATTTTTGCCTGCGTGTAATGGGACCTTCTGCAATAAACGTCTTAAAGTTCTGCTACTAGGTAGCGTAAATAAATGTTGCAGAAGTTTATATCCAGCATGAGATTCTTTATATAGTGACAATGCCATTATCTTCTCACGTAAGCTAAATTTTATACCCTATAAATGAGACCAAAAAAGAAAGGCATAAAAAATATATATTAAGTCATAAAAAACAAAGCAATATAATAGTCTTCATTTTGCGGATAAGTATATTTGGAAAAAATTGTCATTATTAGTTTTGCAATATATTAATTACACTTTCCATAATTTAATTTTTTTAAATTTAAAGTACATGATCGAGCCTAAGAGTCTGCACACAATAGATAAAATATTGGGAATAGGAATTAAATCTAAATTAATTAAACCTCTTAGTTAAATCTATTATTTATCAATACCTATTATTAATCAATACCTATGTTTTCTAAAAATATAGAAGCATGTTCATCACTACATATACTCTTCAATGCTAATTTAATCTCTTTACAAAATATAGAAAAATTTACCTTACGCTTCTTTTTCTTATTTTTTATTTGCATATTTATAAACAATTTTTGTGTTTCGCTTAATTCTGAATACTGTTTCCAAAAACTGAGATTACTAAATTTGGTAGCATATTTTAATCGTTGTTTATACTTAATAAGATTATTACGCAAGGCATTATTTTGTTTTGTAATTATATTGCTCTTAACATATATTCTTTTTGCTATTGGAGTCAAATGGTCCTTTCTAGTTACACTTCCAAGTATATTTCTGCGAAAAAGATTTGTAGGACGAACACGTTTTGGTGTTTCCAGAATGTCAACATTAAGCGGGTGTGTTTCTTGTTTTGATTGTTTTTCAATATTGATATTGCTTTCTAATAAAGTATTTTCTCGTTGAATTTCACTTGTACTAGGCTGAGAGATATCAATTTCCATTGTTCCATTATTCTCATCTATTTCATTACATTGTATATTAATTTCATATGCACTTTCTTCTTTAATTAGACTCGTACTAGGCTGAGAAATATCAGTTTCAACTGTTGTACTCGACAAATTCTGATTCGGAACAGCATCATGCTTCAATCGTCTACGATTTAGACTAAAAATGTATGAATTTTCACTGAAGTGTAAGTGGCAAATTCTACATTTTCTAACTTCTTCTTCAGGTAGATTTAATATACGTGGCACCGATACTGCTTCTAGCCATTTTTTCATTAATTTTATATTTTTCGGAAAATAATGCCCGGGAGCTTTAACAGGAGATGTACAACCTGGGATTATGCATTTCCAACCAATTTTAGCTGTCATTTTTCTACAAATAAATTGTTTTAGTGAAAGACTAATAATTTTATGCAAATGTTTTACATTCAAGGAAATGATAAATGTAGTTAGTATAATCTAACCTGTTTTTGAGAGATCAACTCCAACCACAAAGCTTCACCGTGTCTCACGTGGATCGAAGTCTACCGAATTCACTCGCCGTCTCCACGATGCTTCAAAATATACACGTCTCGTATATAGACAATCTCGGTTGTCAATAATATTGCAAAAAAGACCGATCCCGTTTAGTCTCGTTGGAATTGCGTTGGAACACGTTGAAAAGCTGGCGATAACAGAATCATGTTACCGGTGGTTACCGCGCGGTTACCAGTGAGTTCTATTATAGTTCCAAAAAATTTGTCTATTCGCCTAGATGGCGCAGAAATACGGCTTGACTTTTCACATGAGTGTGTCCATACCCTGGTGTGGAGTGACAACCGCTCGTAGCGAGCTTATATAGCACTTGCACGCTTGCTTCGCTTCGACGATCTCGATGTCCTCCCTTCTTCTCTCGATGAGTTTCGGAACGTGCTCAACGTCCAATGAGGGAAGTCCGCTCAACAGGGAGAGACACTTCTCGCGGCGAAGTATCTTCAGCGCCGAGTTCAATGGTCTGGACCCATATTCTTAAAATTTTTGCGTACACGTAATTTTCATTGCGCAGTTATTTTATGGTATGATTAAACCTACGCAGTAAAACTTACGAATACGCAAAAATTTAGAGAATAGGGCCCATGATTTACATTGTCAAAACGTTAGTACGCGTATTAAATTTCTCTTTCTCTTTCTTCGATTTCAGGCCCGTTTACTTGGTGGCCTTTACAACTTCTAAAGATTGTACTTTTATGTGAGTTTGTAGGTTTATATTTGAGATGTTTAGGAAATTGAGGATGTGTTTGAAGGAAATATTGTCAGAGAAGATCGCTTTCTCCAGATCTTGAATGTTTTGAATATTCATGTTATATAAATCCAAGGTGAGTCGATCCGACCCTTTTCTGTGTTTGGGGCATCTAAATTCTAAACAGTAAGTGCTCCATTTAGAGCATATATATATGGATGGGGAATGCTGGCACGAAAGTGTGTCCAAAATGTGTGCGAGAGAGAAAGCTATACGTTCCTATTCGTCCTTTGTGCGCATGCGTTGAAGTTGACAGGTTAGGTTAGGTTATAAAGTTGACAGGAAAATTTATTTTCTTCTTATAGAGCTCTGAGAATTTTTTCAGAATTTTGTAGTAATTTTCTAGTATTTCAAGAAAACGCAAGAAAATGCAGTACTAAAAGTTAATACAAAATTAATATAAAGTTAATGCAAAAAGTTAATACAAAATTCTGAAAAAATTCTCCGAGCTCTATGAGAAGAAAATAAACAATTTTTATCTTTTGCTATTTTTCGATAAAGTTGATAGAATTCAAGTAAAAAATATTGAAACCAATAATTTTGTAGCCCAGCAACAACTGACGTATGTTGGCGCATACGTATAAAGGATGAATAGGAATGTACCTTTCTTTCTCGCATATATTTTGGACACACTTTGGTCTACAGGAGGCATACGCAATTCCTCCTCCACATATATATGCTTTAAGGTGCTCCAGGTCTTGGTTACTTGCTCCACAATCATAGCTTGTCTGGTTTACAATGTTGATTTTAAACAAATGTTGACCTGTTAAGAGGTGGTTTGTTCTTAGTCTTGCTGCGAGAGTGATGTGAGGTCTCGAATTTAGTCTATTTTGTTTTCAAAGGAACCAGGGTTTTTTTGAGAAACCATGATTTGTATATTAAATTTGATACGTACCTATGGACATAGGAATATCTGCACGGAGCGTATTTCGCGGGGAGTGAAGTCACAGGGGTGAGAGGAATGAAAGTCGGAAGTGATCACCAAATATGGCGGCGGCCTATATCACGGAGTACAATAGCTGCATTCGGCATTGTAAGTCAAAAACATCGAATTGCTCTTTTACCTCGAAAATGCATAGAAGTGAGAGAGATACGAGATCTCATATCTTTTTCATTTCTATGCATCTTCAAGATAAAAGAACAATCCCATGTCTTCGATTTGTTTATCTTCTATTGTTTATCTTGGTATAGTGCATTGGAAAATGTATAAAATGAATACGTGTGTATGAGTGTGTGTGTGAATATAAAGTTTTACCCTGATTGCAACTGCTGTTATATTAAAACACACCTGTGAAATGATAGTCTTTTACCATTTTTTTTAGTAATACTGTTTAGTTTAATTTCAGAGAGTAATTTTCAAGAGAAATTACATTTTTATGAACGGAGAATAACATGTGACAAAATTAGAACGTGCTAAGTCTTTTACTACTTCCAATAAAATCAGTAATTACAAATATTGTTTACTACTTACGAATGAATGGATATATTTTCCGTCGGATTTCTTTTTGTATATTTACATATAACACAGGTACACATTTTTACTTTCAAGAAGAGTTCTGAAAGGTTATCTGCGGCCGTACTTAGATTCCCCCACTTTTCTCCTGTTTTGCTCCGGCGCATACGTTGTGCGCATATACAGAGGAGAAAGTTGCACTCACTAGGCCTGTTTTTTTTCGCTGCACTGTTGAACTGCAATAAGTTAAAGCGAGATACATATATGTTTTTTCATTTTAACTTATTGCACTAGTGCAGCGAAAAAGAACAAGCCTATTTTCTATCTCACACATTTCTGCTACGGACACGGTTTCCTTATCTATGTTCAGTCCATATATTATAGATCCATGATATTCCTACATACTAATGCTTTAATATGAGTGCGTTTACATTGAACGTACTAAAAGAAATCCCTTGTCCACAACCTTGCTTTAATTTTTAAGCCGTAAGATATTGACCAACCACAGTTGATTATTTTTTAAATAATTGACTGTGGTTGGTCAATTTCTTACGGCTTAAAGATTAAAGCAAGGTTGTGAACAAGGGGAAAATATAATATCAATTTAATTTATGGATCTGTTTTCTGTTACTACACTGCTGAACTGGTGCAATAAGTTAAAGTGAGACAAGTATATTTTTTCTCGCTCTAACTTATTGCACCAGTTCAGCAGTGCAGGAACGAAAAACAAACCTCATGTCGATTGCCTCCTAGTGGTAGTATTTGGAATTGCAATTTGCTTGAGATAGCTTTGTTCGACAGTCAGAATACATAATTCTAAAAATGTTCTCGTTTTTTCTTCTTTCTATCTTATAACCCCTTTTACAAGACATTTTAATATCATTTGAGAGAAACCAACGGTTACCGATAACACCGCTTAGGTTCCCTCCAACATTCATTTCATACGTTTACATCGTCATTTTTATCATTTGATATGCGTATTAGTTTAGTACGATATTCCTACTTTGTATGCTCGTACAAAATTGATCCGTCAATGTTTATATCGTGTGTGTATTAATGTTTAGTACGAATTTGATACAAATATAGTACCTGACACGCGTATCAAGTGCACGATGTAAACTCTCTCTCTTTCTCTCTCTTCGGCTGCAGGCCTAACTCAATGACCTTTTCACTATGTATTTGTTTGGAGTTTATGTTGGAAAAATATGTGAAGGATCTTATAGGTTTATTTTAGAGTTATTAAGGAATTCTAGGATGTTTAGTATATGTGATATTATTTGAGAGGGAGCCCAGTGAACAGAAGCTCTGAAATCGACGCATTAGCCATCTTTAAGATATCATTAAGAGGTCATAAAAAAATATCTACAAGACATTTCTTTATGACCTCTTAATGATATCTTAAAGATGGCTAATACGTCGATTTTAGAGCTTCTGTTCATTGGGAGGCTACCTCCAGATCTGAAAAGTTATGTATATCCAAACTATATAGCTTGTAAATTAGGCGATCTGAATTTTCCCTATGTAATGGACATCTAAATAGGACGTGTTCTAAGTCTTGACACTCAGCGCCACATTCACAGGACCGCTGTTGAATGATATTTACCTTAAATAGATGTTTGCCTGTTTGTATGTGTCCAGACGTGCTGTTAAAGTGATTTGGAGTTGTAAGCAGTATTTAAATTGTTTTTTTAAGAACCACGGTTTGACAGATATCCCTTTGTTGATAGACCAGTATACGATGTAAACCAGGCCAATGCGGAGTGATCTTAAGTCCGCCTCTCCGCGACTGCGACGTTTCATCCGCGCGACCTCGCAGAGCCACCTCGCGGAGGAACGAAATGAACGACGCGAATTTTACCGAATATCGTCGAGCGCGGCCGAACTCACCGGCCTCAGCAGCGCTCGGCGATTTTTCGAGCAGTTTCGCAACGCGCCGCGTCGTCGTACAACGTTGGTGCGCGGTTTCTCGATGTCATCGTCGTCGTAGTCGTCGGTTGACGTGTCACCCGCGTCGCCCGTTAAAAAATATGAGCGTTATCGAGCGGGATCACGCCGCGTCGTACCATCGCCGTCGCTGCGTCAGTGCGGAGAACGTGGTGGTGTGAAGAAGACGAGGACGACGACGAGGAAGAAGCAGAGGAGAAGGACAAAGGTCGCGGCGCGCCGCCGCGCGAGAAGGTCAGCCTCTATCGAGCGTGCTCGGGTCGACGTCGCCCCCAAACAGAGAGAGAGAGAAACACAGAGGGCCATCCGGCGGACCGATCTCTCGTAGCTAATAATCTTGACGTGGAAAGGGCTGGAAGAAGCGTCTTCGCGTGCTCGCACGCACATACACATGTACAGGTCGGGCGTAATATTCCTACACACGAATGTTACACCATCTCGGGGCTTCCTGTGAGAAATACATTGTGTGCGTCGGAGAGGTACACGATTTGGTATACCAAGGCTATACCATGTTACGTCGGCTATGTATACAAATGAATAACGCATATCTGCACGCAAATCGGGTATAATATAACCTAGTTCGCGAAGTTACACGAAGTTTGTTTTTTTATCTAAATTGTCTAAATTGGTGCATACTAGTACAATAAGTTAGAGTGAGACAAATATATTTCACTCTATCGTATTGTACGCATCAGTTTAGGCAGTCAGCTAAAAAAGACCTATGGTTCCAGAGCTTCTCATAATACATACGCCCTTATTTTGAACTTTCTTATCGATAACAGTGCCTTTAAATGTGACTCATAAGCACTCTGATTGGCTTACAAGCACATTTGGAGAGAAAGAGACGCTTTTATCGGTAAAAGAGAATTCACGGAATGAGGACCACTGTGTGCTTTAGAGAGGTATAACTTCGTGTGTCGACGCCAGGATTAGGCGTTTACGCGTATTTTACGATACTATATGTGTAAACAATGTAAACTATATGTAAGATGCCATTGATGTACTATGAGTAATTTGTAGATGTAGTTCAAAGAATGTCTTGCTAAAAATTAATTCAGAAGTATTTATATTTTCAATTAACCTCCTTAGGATCATACTGTACACTTGTAGTATTGTTTCCTAGATAGGTTAGAGTCTACAAATGGTCTCAGTGACATTTCTCACATCAGAGTTAATTTTACCACTTTGTCACTTAATGTTTGTTAAACATTACATTTATAACATTAATACCCAACACAGACACTGCGATTCTATCTCACGATTGAATTACTCTTTTTTTTTTTTTTTTTTTAATACGTTTAGTATAATTTTCAATATTCTACATGGTTTACATTGTCTACACATAAAGAAAAGACTGTATACAGCATGTAAACAACACGTGAACGATCCGCGTGTAGATATAATCTACAAATTTACGACATAATCTTGGTTAACGTCACTATGTCATGTTGATTGTGTGCACATATGCATAGCATGCATCTGCACACACAGACTGGGCGTAACAAATAGCCTTGCACATCAAGTTGTACGCCGTTTTAGGGCTAGGGGATACATTGTGTGCTGTGTTAAGCTTCTATGTTATGTAGTTTTGTATACACGTTCGCATAACATATATATCCGCGCGTTTTCTTTTTACCTCTCTCTCTCTCTCTCTCTCTCTCTCTCTCTCTCTCTCTCTCTCGGGCGGACTCTCGAACACGCCCTTGACGGTTAACGGCTAAGCGAACCGGTCTATCGGCTGCCTCGGGCCGAACGCTTTCCGCGTTGTGTCCGGCATTTAGCCACTGTGTCTAGCGTCTGATCGGCCGTTGCCCGATCTGTTGTCCATTTGACGCGCGACGAAGAGCCGAAGAAGCCGCTCTCTCGATTCTCCGGGAGGCCTCTCCTCTCATTCTCTATACAACGACCGAGAACTGCAACTACGAGAAACGTAAACACGCGTCTATTTCGGTACACGACATACCGTGCACCTGGCATGCGTCGCATATTCTGCTGTCCTCCCCAAGCTTTGTTTGTCTACCCGGGAACGCGTTGGAGTTTTGACGATCGCGGATTTCCATGTGCCAAACATGATGCTGGAGATGCATCGCTTCTTCCGTGACAATCCGAGTCCAGATTTTGATTTTTTAATTTCTACTTCGATAATTCCTCGATCTCGAAGTTTTGATATTACTTCGATCTTGATACTCCAATTAACACCCATTTTGATACTTTGAAATCTCTCTTGATTTTACTTAATATACTAGCTTTGTCAAGAGAGATCCTCTTTAGAATCTGCGGATGACATTTTGTACGTTTTCTTGCCGTTTAGTGTAGGCTAAGTAAGATTTCAATTTCAATGTGTATTACACATACACTGATCCTTCAGAATATACAGACGTTGGAAGATGTTCCCGTCCAAGGTAGGGCTGAAATGTCAATTCGAGAACTTTATCGCGCCAGACAATGCGTGACAGAGGCATCGCGCGGAGGATTAAGGCTCCTGATCAATCATCGCGGTTATATTGAATCGATGACGTCAGAAAAAAGGAAAAACATGCTCAAAATTGCGAGCCACGGCTAAATAAAAAGATATATCATTAAAATGACACTTGCAATCTGTTCTACATATCTGCGAAATGCTCTGGATATTCCTCTTTCATCGAAATAACTTACTAGATAATTGCAAAATAAATGTGATGCCTCGCTTTGACAGAAAATCGGCTGTGTGATTCGGTGCCGAATATGATCAAATAACTATTTAAACGCATCAAATATCACAATTAGCACAGTATTCGGAGCATTTTCACACTTTCACAATTATATCACATGTGATATGCACGCACTACACTCAGTAATAATGCTGTGGTTTGTAGGAAACAATACAAATCATCATTACATCTGTTCGTTTTCGACATAGACTTAGTGTATATAGACTGCGTGTTCTCAATATTTCCTATAGTTTGAACGCGTCACAAAATAAAAAGACAGCATACTTTCGATCACCATTCTGTCTTTCTCTAAACGCGTCGTTTAGAAAAAAAGATAAAATGGTGATCGAAAGTGTTTTATCTTTTTCTATTTCATAACTCGCTCAGCCCAATACGCAGTCTATGTATACTAAGTCTGTGGTTTTCGATGAACTTTTGCACTAGTGTAATAAGTTAGAGAGAGACAAGTATATACTTTCTTTAATCTAATTCTTCACTTTAATTTTCTCTCTATCTCTCTCTTACTGCGATAGTCTGTACTAGTGTAGAAGTTCTTTGGAAACGAACAAACCTATTTTCTCGCCTAATAGTTCATCATTTTGCCATTTACAATCATATCGCCACCATCAACGCAGAGTTCTCGGCTGACTAATCAGTGCTGGGGTTCTGTAACTCGTTATTGGAGTTAACGGCAATTTCGTTATCGTTGCGGAACTTTTGCATACCGTAGAAAAGTTGCGCAACGATAACGAAACTGTTGTTAACTTCAATAACGAGTTACAGAATCCCAGCACAGGAACCTTATCTCCGCGACAGTTAGGCGACAATTCCCCGAAAAGTAGAGGGGATAATGTTGTACCAAGGTTGTTCCAAGGAAAATCTCTACACGATAAAATTTAATGATCTGTTCTTTGTAACTGCACTGCTGAACTAATACAAAAGGTTGAGAAAACATATACTTGTCTCAATTGTACTTCAATTTATTGCACCAATTCAGCAGTGCAGTTACAAAGAACAGGCCTTTAAATTATATCGTGTGAGATTTTCCTTAGTACCAACATTAGCCTCTCCATTTTTCGGAAAATTGTCGGCTAATCCTCTGCGACTTTATTGTGATCGAGGCAAGACGAACTGTCATCGTTCTGATCGTGCGTCACGACATCGACATGCGACAATGACTGACTGCGTCGTGTTGAGAATCCCGTCTTTCCCGGTGACGATGTCGTTCGTGATAGAAAACTCGTTCGGGCGAGTCGCGGGAGTCAGCCGATGATGCTTAATAGAACGTGCGCCGACTTAATTCCGGGACACTAACACGAGACGATCGGCGGACGAGAAGCGACGTGTTTACAGTTTACATCGAGATATACGTGGTCGGAAATTGTACGTGCTTTAAATAACTAGGAACGCTTCGATATATCTTTGTGATATTCGAGACATTTCCGCTGTTTCATCAGAAATCATCATCTACGAGAATGTTGACTTTTCTCTTGCCAGATTGATCTTTCTTTTTCTTTATGTAAATTATCAATCTTATACATGATATTATCAAAGATAACGTCACATCATTCACTGAAATGCGCAGCAATTTCAAACAAAGTGGATTTCTCTTACTCTTATCAGTCTCATCTTTCTTACTTTTCTGAGGAGGATAACTTTTGTTACAGAATTTTTGACATTTCAAAAGATATTTTACAATGTCCACTCACGGAGAAAAATAATTTTGCTCTTTTAGTAAAATCGTCGTTGCTACTGCAAATTCGTAGTGACATAAAAAAAAATTTAATTGACGTAACTAATTGTACAAATTATTCGTTATCAGAGCAGAAGTAATTTCGTTGCCAGGATAGAAAAAATTTGTTGAGTATATTTGTCCTAAGAATCACGTTAATTTGCTATTGATACAAAATAACGTATCCTTAGCAAATTTATTTGCTATCGGAGTAAAACTACTACTGCTTATATAAATCCATCATGGTCCTTATAGCAAAATAATTTGTAGATTCAGCAAATTATATCCAGCAAATAGTGATTAGTACTCTTAGCAAATCTTTTTGCTGTTTATATAATAACGAAAAGATTTTGCTAGACCAGCAGAAAATTTGCTGGGCCAGCAAATTATTTTTCTCCATGCTGTAATATTGATCGGTGACAATTTTAACAAGCGATTATCAGCCTTGATTGTCCGTCCTCTCACAATGCCTAGCACAAGTTGGAGCACTCGTTTATTTTTGTTGATGACAGGCGGCTGAATATCGAGAGCGGGAGACTCATGATGATAATCACAAAAGATCATATTCGTATGTTAAATCTTAATCTGGCAGAGAGAACTGATTAGTGTATCTAATCATATATGTCACGTCCGGATGTATATATACATTGTGATTATTTGGTTAATCGCAGTTTTATTTATTATATCATATCGTATCGCTTCCATCTAGACGGAACGGTTAGAAAATCCCATAAGTTTTGGTCTGACAAATGTTATGACCTTCTTGAAGCTTAACACTGAAAAGAAAAATCGAGTAAAGGAAACTAGGTTTCAGAGTTATGCAAGTTCTGTTGTATAACCCGGATTCATTTGGATTGAATAAAAATCAGGCGAGGCCGGCAATCCGGTATTGGAATTTGAACGGAAAGATTTAGCCGACGATACGAACAGTGAAACCGGAGTATAGAGTTTGATGATATAGATGTTCTTTCAACTACAAAAAGTTTGATCCAACTGTGTAAATAATTCTGTCTCTGATGGGAAATTATGTAAGAGGAATTATGTAAGTCAACAATGTACGTTTAATCAGTTTTACGCCTGATTTACTTAAGTGCGCTAAGTTTGGAGTTTGCTCTTACGCAAACATACGAGACTAAATGAACATCGAAATTTTGCTGGAAAAATTAGGACAGATAGCTCACATGTATACAACCCTGAAATTGAGTTCGTTTAACTCGATTCGAGTTATTTCAGTGGATCTCTTCTGCAGTGTAGTGTACATACATCACTCTCGACCACATCAGATCGTTTTTCCACGAACACACACACGCGCGCGCGTGCGGCTCGCCGACGTACGTCCTACTTTACGTTCTTTCTCTCGTCACTCTGTCTTCGTTTTGCCTTCCTCTTTCGACCCTTCAACTCCGCCCGTTAATTCACAGACTAGACCAGTGTACTCTCCTCGACATTGTTGACGACGGCGACTCACTCGCGCTGCTCCTCCCTAATAGGATTTCACGTCGACGACGCGCAAATTTCCGGCGCGATTGTTCCGGGCTCGCGATGGCCGGTACTTGGAAGAAAGCGATCGATTACCAGCCTGTATGAAGTTAGCCCCCCACTTTTCGAATTTATTAATTTTGACAGTTGTGCTGATTTCTGCTAGGTTTGTGCTACATTGTGCTCGAGTTATAAATTTTTAATACGAAAAATGAGCGAGAAAAATGGAAAAAACCGTTTTTTTGGTATCCCCCCACTTTTTGATTTTCGAAATTTTTTTTATTGTGCTAGGTTGTGCTAAGTTGTGCTAACATTGTGCTAAAGTATTATCTTCGAAATATAATCATAAAAGGAATAAAACGAAAAAAACGATTTTAGGCAGAAAAGAAGAAAAGTAATATTTATATTCGTATAAGTCAACCATACAATATATAATTATATATCTGAGTTGCTCTAGGCTAGCACAAGTCAGCACAAGCTTCA